ATTCTCGAGGATCACTAGAAGAAAATTACTCTACTTCGGGGTAAGAATCAAATATTTAGAGCTTGAAGAAGCTTATAAGTAACACGGTGTTAATGAGAGTGAAGGGATTCACCATTATAAATGAAAGAAATAGTACAAAAAAGTGCTATAGAAGAGAGCGACTGATAATAACGACTGAATTAAATTATCAGGACAGAATTATGGCCACTAATCGTTTAATCATCCCAGTGGTTCAATATAATTTCAACATCTTGAACTGGACTCTAAATGATATCAAATGAATTGATTCTAAAACAATAAATCTTTCTAAACATAACATGCATCATAAAAAGATTGATATCATCCGTCTATACATATCCCGTAAAGGTGGAAGAGGTCTTATTCAGTTAGAACTATCGTACTAGTCAACAACTATTGGCTTACTAAACCACATGGAAACAACAAAGGAGTGCGTGATACAATTAGATAAACAATCATGAAAGAAGTTTCTACATTTAGTAGATTCTGTAGAAAAGTAAAACAAAGACCAAGAACCAACTGCTGCAGCAAACATTATGAGAAAGTAAGCCAATATCCAGAACCTGATGTTGATAAATTTAACAGTCACCGATAATTACGAGAATCTGGATTAGAGGTCGGAACAAAAGACTTTATTCTTGCAGTGCAAGACAAGAATATGTTCAATCGTAACTTTCAGGCTATTATCATACATAAAATGTGGAACCAAAATGCTAGTTCTCTGAAAAATATCACGAAACTATAGACCATCTAATCTAAGGATGTTCTGAAATTAAATGAATATAAAAATTGCCATGATAGAGTATTGCAATACTTAAACTGGACAATGTACAAACACTTTGGAAAAGATGTTATTAAACACTTGTATGAACATCACACAATATTGGTTACAGAAATAGAAGATATTTCTATGAGCTTACACCTCATTTACAGACAAAAAGATTAAAGCAAATAGGCCGGGCATGATTGTCAAAAACCGAAGAAAAAAAAAATGCCTGCTAATTGATATGGTATGCGCATCGGGCTCTAACATAGCAACCAAGGAATTTGAAAAAAAATATCGAAGTATAAAATCCTGGAAAGTGAAATAGAAAAATTGAAAAAATTGAAAACAAGAATAGTACCATTCGTAGGAGGTGCGCTTGGAATGATAAAAAATGGAACACGACAACAACATTGAAAACAATCCATGGAAAAACGAGGTTAAGAGAAATACAAAATATTGTCTTGAGAAGTACAACCCATTCACTAAGAAGATCTTTGTCCATGTAACGATAGTGATATTATGGGAGTTAGAAAAGCAAATCATGAAATGTGGCCATAGCAACACACCACTATCTGCCTTAGGTCTTCCCGCTGATTTGGTAGGTAGGGTGACCCTAGCAGAAATAATAATAATAATAATGATAATAGTTACGTATTGCAGGGTTAAAACTGAAAGCAAAGGTTTTATTCATACTGCACCGGACCAAATCTTGAAATTACGAAGTAGAGGTACTGAAGATTTGTGTTAACCCGAAATGCAGATTCTGTTAAATGAAACAATTGACGATTTTTTAATGGGTAGCATGATATTGGCATACACTTAATATAAAACTTGTCATAAAAGAGTGGGCCTATACTTGCAGAAGAAAATACGCAACATTTACGGGAAGAAAACCACAAGAAACTGGCTTGAAAATCTCCCAGACCCAGGAACTGTAAGAATTTTATGGGACTTACACACAGGCAGAACACTCAAAGCTAATTGCCCAGACATCGTGATCAGAAACCATCAAACAGGATTGACTTTATTTATGACATGGCAGTCGCTGCAGTTTCTAATGTATTATTGAAGATCATCAAAAAACGCTCAAAATAAGTGGAAATCTAAAAGAATGTGGCACATGAGGACATGAAAAATGTTCAGCTGTTGTTGGAGCCCGAGGATCTACATGCAACACAAAAAATATACTGACAAGTATAGCTCACACATTACGAAGAGCTTCATCTGTGTAAAATGTTTGTAATCTAAGGTTTGTTTATTTGTTTTTTTTTAGATAAATGAGCAGTGGAAAATATCAGGAAGACTTTAGTTGAGACAAAGACAGAAATGTCTAATAAAACAGCAACACAAGGAAATAACAATAATAATAATACTTTTTTAAAATTATAATAATGACTACATTATCTTCTCGAATATTATTTCCATGATTACTCCCCTTTGCTGTCTTCATTTTCTTAACCATTCCGCTAAAACAATTAATTCCGTTACTTGTTTGTATTTATTTTTTTACAAAAATTAGTAATTTGCTGCAAAATTTAACTTAATTAGACAATTAGCAAGCTTATTTAATGACGAACATATGTTGAATAAAATAAATAGAATCAATTTTCTCAGTTAATTGATTTTTTTTTCTGATTTGATATTTTCTCGTGTCTCCCCGAATATCTCAACGTCGCGTCTCATTGTCAAAGTGATTTTTGGAATTAACTTTAATTCATACGCTCCTTGATACTTGCATGTCTTTCCCCCTTAATATAAACAACAAAAACACGTGTATTTACTGATGGCTGTATCAATAAATAAAATAAACGAAAGGAATTAGAGCAATCTACCCACCGTGGACTAAATAAAGGGTTGGTTCGAAATTTCAACGTATATCAGTTGAAGAAGTCTGGACCATTCAATTACCGAAACGTCGTGAATATGGCAATAAAAATGATGAAAAATACCGAACAACGGAAATAGTGTAAATAACCTTAACCCTAGAACACTAACCATCAATTAAAGTTACACCACAACTAACCATGGGTATAACATAACTGATTTTGAAAATATTAATATATATATATATATATATATATATATATATATATATATATATATATATATTAAATATATATCTCCATTTGAATTTTTTTACATGCAGGTACTCCAAACTATGTACTTTGAGTTAACATTAATAGGAAGTGAAAAACATATTATTTAGGTAAGAAAATCAGGTACTGAAAATTGTAATTAAAAATAGGAAAATTTGCGGTGTGTACTATATACCCATGGTTAGTGTTCTAGGGTTAAACAAATTTTCGGTTACTCCTATGTATTCTCCGAAATGATGTGGACTTTAGGATATCATTTATCAAAGGAGAAAGTGGACTCGGCTTGCCTACTTCCGGCTTGAGTTGTCTTATTAATCGCGTATTAAACGCGTTAGTAAATGATTAATTCCATTTCTTCTCCCCCAGTATGTCTACACATCCTACAAGTCGTGTCTCAGTGACTTTGTGTCCCAAATAACTTAGGCGAATGAACATTCTAAAGAGGAGGCTTATACTTAATATCAGGAAGAGGCAGCTGATGTTTTTTGGATACACCATGAAGAAGGAGGGCCTGGAGAATCTAATACTCAGTGGCATACTTGGCGGGCTTAAGTAAGTGGATGACAGAACGTGGTCTGGTGGAGGTAGCCGAGGGAAGGAACATGTTGAGAGCTGCAAGGGAGAGAGGGAGGTGGAGAGACATAATCGCCTACATCTTGAAAGGAGATAGCACATAAAAAGGATAAAAGGACACATAATGAGGGAGGAAGACCTTGAGAATCTGATAGTCACGGGTCGAGTAGAGGGAAAGAGATACAAGGGAAAACAACGCGTGTCATACCTAGAGAATTAAGCAAATGAATAACAAAACGTGGTCTGGGGGAGGACGCAGAGGGAAGGAACTTGTTGAGAGCTGCAAGGGAAAGAGGGAGGTGGAGAGCCATGATCGCTTACGTCCTTAAAGAATTTCAAAAGAAAGAAAGAATCACATATAACTGGAACCCGTTACATGATCTATCCTCTGATCTCGCTCTAACAGTTCAATAGGGAGGAAATGGCTTGTCGCATTTAATACCTCCAACATATGACGAACGATTGTACTTTCGATGAGGACATCAACTTAACCCGTTAATGTCACTTGGACACAGAGGCGTTAAAGGGAATGAAAAATAATGAAAAGAGTTCAGTGTGCAGAATTAGAAAAGAACAATAAAGAAAAAGGGTTCAGAAAAACAGAACGTGACAATTGACGTTGCAGTTACATTTTTGTTGATTGTAGGTGTCATTGAATCAACAAATCGGAAGGTAGTACCACGGGTGAGAAATGCGAGGAAAAGAAACAGTTAGAAAGGCCGGTGGCATCTGGCTAGTTCACCAGTAAAACTGTATCGCCAGTCTAAAATTAATGTAGTAAAAGAACTAAGGACAAACGTTCAGCAGCACAATTGCCATGAAAATATTTGTAGAAAAGACATCGGGAAACCATGTCACATTGGTGGTATGTGAGTGAGGTCAAGATTCCAGATCATTGCCGATAACATGATATACCTGTTGTATTTTTAACGATACAACAAAGTCAAAGATGGTACTCGAGTGAAGGAACAGCAACACATGTGTAGATGAAAGAAGAGAGGTTTATTGTAAAAAAATACACTACTGAAAAACAGGGAATCGGGTGGTGGGCTATTAATTCCCAAACCAAGCCCACAGGCATATCCCCTGCTCATTATATATAGCTACTGATATAGTCAGTCCATATAGGCGATACGGAGTGTGGGACATTCCATAACAATAGCCTTTCAACACTAGATATTGTTGCACATAATGCCACTCTTTCAAGGCCAATGTATGCTTTGTAAATGATCTGTTGTAGATGTTATATATCTTGGAACAAACCTACCCCTTTAATGTAGGACACTGATGAAGGCTTCAACATTTTCAAATGACATCACCTGGCGTCCTTTCAGCATTTATGTCCTACAGCTGCCAAGTGAATGCATTCAGCCAAAATGTGCTTTTTTAAAATATCATCTCACCCCATGCAAGTCAATAAAGCCACTGAGACACAAGAGGTTACTGAGTGTGAAAGGAGAGTGAAAGAATAGAAACATAATTAAAGCGCGATAACAATAAAAGGAGAGGAATCAAGAAGACAATAAGTATGAAGCTGGAATTGAGACCCTTATAAGAAGCGATGCGAAGAAACTTGAACACAGAGAGAGAGAGAGAGAGAGAGAAGAGAGAAAGAGAGAGAAAAATGAGAGGGAAAGAGAAAGCGAGAAAAAAAGAAAGAAAAAAAGATAGAGGAAGAGAGAGAGTGACCGTGCAGTGAGAAAGTAATGTATTTTGAACGCAATTGAATGCCATTGTTATACCTTTAAAGAGGTTACAAACAGACAGAGGTGACACTCGTGTGAAGGAATAACATGCACTACTGAAAGACTGAAAAACGAGGAGCAGACAGTAATTCCCAAAGCAAGTTTATTTACCTCACCATCCTGCGAAGCAGGATGTAACACAAGGCCGTAATTTAATGTGTGGTAAAATCGAGCCCGTAGGCTCGGCCAAAAATTCCCAGTAAACCTCATAAAAACGGGGTCGAAATTAAACTGGAATTATGTTTGCTCTGGTTATCAGAAAAATCTATAAAATTGTACATATTGACAAATCTGTCAACACAACAATCCTCTTTATTAAAAAAAAAAAGCTTTCAAAAATAAAATGTACTTTCATGAAATGTTATTTAAAAAATATTTGCTGATTAGACTTTAATTAATCTGTATTGATATATATATTACTTGCTTTTAGTTTAAAATATCGTCATAATTTATAAGGTATTGACACATTTATCGATAACCTGATGTTTGGGAAATTTATCTAAGGAGCAGACATAATACAGTCGCTCCATTTCATATGGAAAATGTGAGTCCAAGTTTTAGTGTTGCTTTCCTGGAGTTTAGCATTCAGCTTTGTTGATGGTAGGCAGAGAAATTTCGTCTGTGGTGATTAAATGAAATACGGTTTGTTTTGAAGGCGTTAAAATTTACAAGCCATTTCTTGCCCATTGATTGGAGGTCTTTTTCGAGAGTAGATTCCATGTTTACTTTGTCGAATCTGTCAGACTAGCATGGATATCCTATATAAGTTCCAACGATAAAGAAGCTGGAAAAATAATCTGTTACTTGTGCCACCACAGATAGTTACTCCTTATGCAAATCATTACGTTTACAAAACTCAGATCAAACCAAAAAGTGTAAACATCTTTTGCTTTGTAAAGAAAGTAGAGAGAGGAATTTTCATTCCTTTTAGTTGTTCTTCAAACAATCCATCAGCTTTTGTGATATTCTAAAGAAGGCACGAAGAGTACAGATTTGTTTCTTTATATTTTTTTTTTCTCAAAGTGAGGTCGTCAATCTTTTCAGATGATAAATTTTTCCATGGCGCTGTGCATTTACATGATGGAGCACTACACGTTAGTGATTAATCAAACGGGTTTCCTTTGCTTCAAAACACTGGTCAAACATACCATCTGCTGACAAGAGATATCGTTTGCAATACTGAGAACAACTCAAATAGGATAGTACCCAGGCAATCACACCAAATGTTTACTTAATATTTCCTCGGATTTAATAATGCTCTTTCGTTAGTGGGCATTCTATAAGGCATCCTCTTTTTAGGATTAAGGTTTTGAAAAAAGTCAATTTTTCTTTGTCAGACTTTAATAATTTCAGAGTGACATGCGCATATAACCTCTCGTTGTTTACGGGTGACTTCCTTGGAAATCATTACAAATCCATTTGCCAGATGTGATATTTTTACTGAATATTTACATACGGCCCGAGAGTCACTCAAGTAGGAGTTTACGAAATAAGTTTCAACGTGCACGTAAGGCAAGTAATTTCAGATTACGAAAATATGTAGTATATACAAGAAAAATTGTATTTAGCTTACATTACGAATAACTTTATCTATAGAGTTTTTAAAAAAATTATCAGTGGAAAATTTCAAGAAGGCATTTCCAAACTTAGATCTCTGGTTGGGACCCAGAAGGAAATGTGTATACAATGATAATAATAGTAGTAGTAGTAATAATAATAATAATAATAATAATAATAATAATAATAACTGTCATAACATGGTATAAACATCAACCAAACATAGTTACAGAAATAAAACCAGTAATAATTTTATGGAACTTAACAATACACACAGAAAGAACAATTCAAAGCTCATCTCGCAGATATCGTGATCAAAGAACACAAAATATAAAACGGAATATGCTTTTTTATTAAGAGGAGAGATCCTGTAGATTGTAATGTATCTTTGATCGTCATCAAAAAACTATCAAAATACATGGATTTTGAAATGGAAATCTCAAAAATATGGCGCATGATTACATAATAATTTCCAATTATAGTTGTAGCTTTCGGATTGAGTAGAAAATGTTATATCTCTATATTTCTGAGATGAGGATATATGTACACGATTTACATTGCTCGGACTCTCATACTCATCTTTGTTGCCATATCATCAAAACGATTCGGCCGTTGTATATATATATATATATATATATATATATATATATATATATATATATATATATATATACTTCTGAGATAGGTATTATGTACACTATTTACATTATTCGGATTATTCTCCTCCACTTTCTTGCTATATTTATCACAACGTTTAGGCCGTTTTCAGGTGGTTGGAATGGAAGGACACATGGCACAATGGATCAAAGCGTTGGTTAGGTCTATTGACGGGACCGAAAGTGTTGTGTGTTCAATACCTGGTTAAGACGGTGGAGAACTCGGAGTGGGGGATTAACAGGTGATAACCGATAACTGATATTCATTATTCATGGCACGTGGAACTAGAACAGTCTACCCCAGCTAGCAAAATAAAGGGTTCAGTTCGACATTCCAACCACCTGAAGAAGGCCGGAGCGTAAAACGACCGAAACGTTGTGATAAATATATTGCGACAAAGATGAGGACAATAGTCCGAATAATGTAAATAGTGCCTGATAGACTCATTGAAAGGATTCCTGGTAGACCAGACCTTAAAGCGTGAGCGTAATACCAGTAGTTTCAGATTCTGATACTATGTAGGATGTACAAAATATTGACAATAGACTTGACGAGCTTAGTAGTGATCGGAGAAATATCCTGTCAGTTGGCTGTTCCAAAATGCAGGTGTTCTGGGCAAGAAGCAGTCTGAGTGAATCTTCTTGCTTTCCTGCTGGCTCCGAAGAGGATGTCAGTGATTAGAACCTGTAGAAGTGACATCGCTGAATTGGAATTAGAGGACTGAGTGGATCTAAGCAATGTAGATTGTCTGAATATTTACAATGAAAATAGTGATGAAGAAGAAATAGGCTTGCAAAGTGTCTTCTGTGGGATAGAGGCTGTAAATTTGGAGTTAGCTCATTGCCTGGCCGTTTAAATGCTTTTGAAATCAAGGTTAAAAAGAGCGAATTGTACAACTCCAGTCAATCATTTAGAATCAGATCATATATATATATATATATATATATATATATATATATATATATATATATATATATATATATATATGTGTGTGAAAATATATAGAAAATAGGAAAGAACTGATTAGGTGAATAATCCAAAGTTCCTTACTATTTTAGTTATTATTTTTAAGAAATAGTGCTCGATACAAAAGTAGAGCATAAATATAATTATTTATTTAAAAATATGATTCCAACCCGCGACATAAGAGGTCTCATGTTTCAAAACAAGAGCCGAACACTTCAATATAATTATTTGAATTAAATTGAGTTAAAGTAAGCTCTGTTCCATCTTCAAGTGAAATTTTTTTGGGAATAACGTTTTTCTGAAATTTACGTGTTTTAAAAATTGAAATCAAAATTTCCATATATAACTTCTTTCATTTAGAATCAGATCAGAGCAAATATATATATATATATATATATATATATATATATATATATATATATCAGATCAGAGCAAATATATATATATATATATATATATATATATATATATATATATATTTTTGCTCTGATCTGATTCTAAATAAAAAAAAGCATTTTGAATTCAGTTTTGAGAGCAACTTTAATAAAAAAAAATTCATCGTTAAATTCAATATCTATCAAACTCTAGCGATATCAAGGGGGATATCAAAATGATCATATATTCAGATCAAATTCTACTCGTCCTTGAGTCACGTTTTTCAAAGAATTTATAAGCTAAAATCTTAATTATATCATTATTTTCTCTTTTGTCACATCTGCTATCCATTTTTGGGTCTATTTCTGTCATTTTTATATTTACTATTTGGTATAACTTCTTGTATTTATATGGCAACAGACAAGAAAGTCGGATGGCCGATCGCCATCTTTACGTTTTAAAGTATTCATTGGTTTGACGCCATTTTTAATCATTGATCTGAGAAGACGGATTGTATACAAATGTTCGTTTGGACATTTCGGAACGAGATGAACTCCATACATAGCTTCCATATATAATCTCAGATCGGTCGGCTCTATTGAAAATATGAGATTTTCAAGTTAAAAATTCTATTATATCGAATCATGTGGTTTTGGCCAAAGGTACTCCTGACGCTGTCTATGTCTGTTCAAATACCTCCTTTTTTGAACTCATTTGGTTATAACTTCTCATATATTTCGCCATTCGTCAACCTAAACTAAATTAATAAATAGTAAAGACGCTCTCACATAGAGAAAGCTTACTTATAATTATAAAAGTTCTTATATATATATATATATATATATATATATATATATATATATATATTGGGAGTTCAGAATCAAGCACATACAAAAATTTGACTATAAAATTAGTTAGAAACGGATGTGGAAAATGTGATAAGGAAATATTGAATAACATAAAATAAAAACAGGGTACGGTATCTTGCAGAAGTTAAGCACTGTATTAAGACACGGGGAAAATTTGTTGGAAAAATTAAAGTTGAACTGCCATGTAATAGTTAATTACTTAAGAGTCTGTCAACGGTCAAGAAACATCTGACAGACGAAGACGCGTTAAGACGCACCAATGCAGAGTATAAAATTGTCAGAATATGTTAAAAATTGAGATGTCAACAGATTTGACATTAATTTTTGTAAAAATCACTGAAAAGCCCTTTGAGTTATTCAGTTAAAACGAGAGCTGCTTAAAATACATTCGTGTCAGACCCACTCTATCACCAACTGAGCTATGGTGAGGGGAAAAATATCATTCAAGCATTTAGTAATGGTGTCAACACTCATACTCTGTTTTACGTCTTACAGGGTCATTCAAGAAACATTAAGTGAACGACGAATAAGTTTAAAAAGAGACAACTGTATAGAGGAAATCTCG